TAAATCTGTCATTCAGTAAATTTGAAGGTCAGTTCATGCATTTTTGATAAGTTTGAGTGTCAAGACCAGCACATTTTGTTTCTAAACATTTAAGTAACCTGTTTTCTACTAGTTTTTGATCATTGCTTTTTGTGTTCAACATTTTACCTTTTACTTCGATATCACAGTTGAATAATTTTGTTAAATTTTTCCATCGGATTTGGCCCAGCTTAGTACACTTATGTAAGTAGAATTGAAATTGCCGAAATGCATTTGGGTTTATTTTTACTATTGAATTTTTAAACAGAGATTCGCACTCCTGGATTTTATTGATAATAATGACCTGATTTATTAGTGCATTTAAGAACATTGTTTTTTGTTGTTGACAGTTTGACAATTGATCTGATGTGGTGTGTATGTAACTATAAAACCTTGTACTAATTTTATTAAGTGCTTCACTGTTAAAATAAGGGAATATACAAATGTACATATTAAGCTGGATGAGGAACTATGAAATAATCAGATAGTTTTTTACCACTATTTGCCCAAATCTCTTATGAATTTTGCTCAAATTTAGTCTGATACCCTCTTATTTAGGTGTTTCTACTTATTACTACGAGAATTTCCTTACACTGAGAACAAATCAAATGTGCCTATAACATAAACAAAATTCGTAGTCTGTCAAATACACACAGAAATCGGACTTTTGCAATTATTAGTTGGAGAGAACTAAATATACAGGCAGTAGAATTGTACTTAAAGATCTATCATCTAAAGTCAGTCTCGCCTTGGTAGCTTATAATTATTCAGTTACTAATCGATCAATGAATTGCTACTGTATTGCGGAAATTACCTTGACATTCAGCAGTGATCGCCCATAAGTTTGTGACATGTAATTTCTTTTCGTTTCTGAGGCCTTTGAATAACCTGACGTCTGAAGAAATCCGGGTATGCTTTGAACGATGGAAAAAAGAGATGAGACATATGTATTACCACAAATGTGAATTATTTTGGAAAGGAACAACCCACCTTATTTTACATAGTTTTATTTTATAATTTCAACAGCGAATGCAAGAATGAGAAAATGTATTTTAATTTGGGCTACTTAAAATCCAAGGATAAGTTTACAGTAACTTAAACTTTTGAAAAAAATGTGTATCCTAAAAAACGAACTCTTTTATACTGTTAGTCTCTATGTTTTGAAAAATTAATTGATTTTGGTATGGGGAAATTGTGAGGAATACAAAATGAAATATCACTTGAGTGAGATGACTGAATCAAAATTAACTCATGAAATCGAACCTTATGTTTAAATTGAATGGGATATCAGAAGAAATAACCACTCACTAACTAATTTAATTCCAAATGTTAGGAAAATAAAACTTATATTCTGCCATCAAGATAATATTACTACAACTGTCGTACCAGATATTGTATAATTAACTGTTCAAAGAAGAGAGTCGTGGTTACACCGTAGCTAATGACTTTGGAATTCTTCTCGCTATATTAGTCTGTATATTCGGAGAATTAATTACTTTTTTTCGACTTGTTCTGTCAAAATTTGCATGAAGGATTCCAGAGTGCTATCGATAAGTTTTATGAATATCCGTGTTTTTTCTGTAAGTTGCAATGGGATCATTGGTGTTGTCTAGTCTATATTTATGATTGTAGTATTCTATCTAGGGTTTTCTAACTTTTTTCAAATAGATGACCTGTTTAGCTCGAGAGAGTTTTGTGTATTTTTAGGCCTTAATTGTTTACTACGCAATAACTGTTAGTAAATGAATTGTTTTAAACCTGTACAGAGTGACTTGATACACATTAGTGATATATTTAGTTTATTAAAACAATTTGCAAATAACTCTATGTTGTATTTTTGTTCGACTTTGAAAATTGTATGTGAATTTGTCTGAATTATTCATGCTTTCATATAAGTTAAACAAGACTCCAGAAAACAGGTGAATAATTTGAACGATCTACAAAACAAATTAATTTTCATGGCTAGTGGTAATTCATAGAAAATACTGGATTTATAATTCTTACTCTGGCACTTTGGCATAGGAGTTTGACTTTTTCACTCAATATTTCAGTGAAACTAGTTTAAGCAAATGAATGGGTTGTATGCAAGTCAAATTTTAGTCAAAGCTTTTATCAAATAGTTTTAAAACTAAGCATAAAACTTTGAAAATAAATAGAAGTTTTAATTAAATTCGATTCAAGCTTATTCAAAGATTCTTAATACGGTAAGTAGTTTACGCTTTATGTAGTTGCATTAATAAGTAGTTTGGGCTAATTAGTGGTATCATCAACTAATTTTTCTCATACTTACAGGTCGATGTGATAATCAAACTATTGGTGGATTACCTGTTTCATCTATGCTCCAAGAAGCCCATTCCGAAAATTTACGTAATAATCAATTCAACCCAACTGGGTCATCATGTACTCAAAATCAGTCTCGTCATCATTCAACTGGGAATAATCAGTACAATACACAGTTATCAGTACCATCTAACAATCGATTACTGAATGAATATATGTTTTCTAGTAATAATAATTCAACTAGTGAATATTCGAATACAAATTATACAGAACATAATCCCGGTGCTACAAATGTGCTTGATAGTAGCATTAATCCACTTTACTCGTCTCATTTACATCAAACAACAAATATCATGCACAATGCTTTATCTAAATCTATAGAACAATCTCAGTCAAATAATGCTAGTCAGTTAGTTCATTCGATTAATGAAGTATCTAATTTAGCAGCAGCTGAAGCGGCAGCCGCTGCCGCTTATGCATACCATCAATATCAACAACAAGCACAAGTTATGAATCGTCAACATTCAATCATTTCACAACAACCACCAAGTGCACATATAAACTATCAAAATTTATTTAATCAAACTAATCGTTCTTACAATCATCATCAGCATTCAGGGCAATTAAATGAACAATTATCACAGAGAGGAGATTTAACCTTATATAATAATACTACACATTCAGAAAAAAATGATCCAAAAGCTGCTTATTTAGCTGAAACTTATCGAAATGCTCAAATTAAACCAGGAAGATTTTTATTTTGATGAATTACACACACAAACACATAGTGAAGTGGATGGATACTTCCACCATCCAGCTTTTTTCTCTCGAAATAGTCTTTCTTTTTTTTAAAAAAGGGGAAAAAAATATTGTATTAATTGTTAGTCAAGCCCACAGCATACTGTGAAATCTCGATTTTATACACTTACCATCTGGTACTATATGGATTACGATTTACACCTCTTTAACATAACCTTATTATTGTTGTGAATAATTATTCTATGCAAAAGATTGTTATAATTAAAATAATACATCACAATTTGATGGTACCTCGCATTAATTGGATTCTTTTTTGTATTAATGATACATGTAATATACATTATACAATAATAATTATCTCATACTTAGTAATTTTTAGTTCCTTAAGTGTAAAAGATAGAACAATTGAGAAAAATCAAGATCAAGTTAGTCATTTATCGTGATTATTTTTAATTTATTAATTATTTCTTGTAAAATGACATTACAACATATTTTATATTTGTAATGTTTATTCAATTATTATCTATTAGTGTTTCTGTAATCTTTTTCAATTTCTTTTTATTTGTTTGTATGGTCTTAATTTGTAATGTTCAATTGAAGGATTAATTAATAATTTTGATTAGTGATTATAATGAGATGCATTTAAATGCAATAAGAGAAAATATTCACTTTTACTACTGTTAATTAATGCTGTATTACATTTTGTTATTCAAATTTTAATAATACAATTTCAAGAAGATATATTACAATGGATTGGACGGTATTTCTACTTCTAGCCCACTCCCATACTTTTCTTTGTAACAATCATTTCATTGTTAATCTTCTCCTTCCTTACGTATAGAATAATTATATTTGATTGTCTTCCTTGTTTGTTTTTCTTCAAATTTCTACACTTGTCTTTTCTCATTTGTTCTATTTCTAAACAACATATGAGTGCTAATATTGCAATTTATGTACCAAATACATCAACGATATAATGTTTAATTCTCTTTCTATGATCATTATTTGTTGTTTAACGAATAAACGTACAAATGTACAACAAACAACATGGAGCATTCGTTTGTTCACGCTGTAAGATAGATAAATCTGTACAATTTATACAACATGAAATAGATCAATTTGCCTACTAATTTTTTCTTACATTTACTTTTTTTTTCTTTAAACGCTCAGTGGTTTATTTACACATGGCTGGTAAGTATAACAAGTATCTGTTTTCCCCGAGATGACCATAATTCTATTGTATCATATCATGATTTATAGAATGATCTCTGTCACTTATTTAATGATAATACGGACAGTCTTAATTGTTTAATTAATAATTTATAACTATAATTGTTGCATCATACATATATTTCAATTACTTTTCTGAAGAAAAGCTGTATGCAAACATTTGTCGTTTACTATTTTTAACTGATAGGATTCCTGCAAGTCACATCATTATTCTTACATTTTTTATCTGCTGCCATCACGAATACTATTCATTTATATTATTAGTGACTAGTTCGAAAATCCGAGAACTTTTTACACAACTGTTATCAAGGAATTATGCTATTTTCTTATGTTGTATGTACTATACTCAGAACTGATGTGTGTTTATACTTTCTCTCTCTCTCTCTCTCTTAATGTACGCGCAAAACAGCACTTGCGTGATAATGTCTATTTTATTTGTGAAATATTATTTCTGTTTTTTCTTTTTCTCTCTAAACGAACAATGATATTCTCAGTGTTGTTTTATTTCTTTGAACTGGAATTTCTTAATTTCATTATAATTTTAAACAAACTTTTATTCGGTTTTGCTTAGCGAAATGGTTTACTACGAATACTGATGATTATGACACAAGAACGAAATAATGTGTTGTTACCATTATTATTCCTATATATATTGAATAAATTTATACATATTCTTTGTCTCATTGTACAAAAGCATAAATATTAATAGAAATTCAAGAGATAGGGAATCGTTTTTCACAACAACTAGATCCTTGCTCTTCATATTCTTTGCGCGTGACTAAGAAATGATTGAATGAATCTGAATTTTGACAAAACAAAACACCACCTTCCCAAGCGTAGGTTTGAGGACTAATGTTGGTGTAGAAAAACGAAAGTAGCAAAAAAAGAAACTGTTAAATACAGGCAATTATTGTGAAAAGGCATTTAACTTAACTAGTCATAACGTTCATTATAAAAAATATGTAACCTAGTGCACAAGAATGTTTACTGGGTTAGGTTTAAAAATTGATCGTTTTATCCAGTAAAAAAATGCACAGTACATTCACTGAGCCAAATGATACAAAGCTGAGGGTTCAAGTCTGTATTGGGAAACAAGTTATTTTGAAACCGAAGATACGTTAAAAGATATTAACCAGAAGCGAGAAATATTTTATGGATTACCTGACAACTTTTGACGACCAAAAAAACACAACAAGTATTGTAGTCAGAATCAAAGTTTAGACAAGTTTATTTAAAACCACAGACAGGGTCAGATCTTAAAAATGTTTGTGATCATTCTTATCAGCGCATTTCCCATCAGTACAGTGAGTGGAGGTCTAGATAATGCAATAAAAGTAAAGAACTGTAGGAAGAAAGACAAAGGAAAAAACATTTTAAAACAGGTGGATGGATCTAAGACAACGATTAGTTTTGAGCTGTATTTCGCTGATCCGAATGAAGAAGCTTATACGACCCAGATTCATCGCGACTTGATGGGTTGATGCTACTTTTTGTTTTGGTCGTCCTAAACTTTCTTTTATTCTGTTCATATGTTGGCCAAAAATATTATGCTAGGGTATGAAATGACTAGAAATATATAAAATATGTGAAAAACAACCCATTCAGAAGAGGCTAGTGGTCCCACCGCACAGAAGTGTTTTAGAGACACATATTACAAAATAGTGCCTACTTCCCAACTTTAATAGTCACGTCTCAGTCGTGAAATAACAAAACAAATATCTACCTAATAACTTGGTCGCTGATTACTAGACGTTCGAATAATCTTGAACTGTAAATGGCTTAAAATGGAGATAAGCAAGCGCTTAGTGTTTAAACAAACAGTTCGCTAGCCAGCAACCCACCATAAGTGACGAAGTCTCCGAAAGCAAATGAAACACCCTTTATCAGCACCTTCACTCAACAAGATTAATTCCTTGTTGTTGATGTTGATTAGATTTCTTAGAAAGTGATGGATCTATAGTAAGTTGGAGGAAACAGGTATTTCTTTCAAAAGTATGTCTTCTGAGAAGTCCAATAAAAAGGAAGACTATAAATTCTCAACGAATACCACTCGAAGAAAACACTCCAAATAACATGTCATAGTCTTTGATACAATCAAAAAGCAGCTTTTAGAATTTATCTTAAAAATGAGAGTTAGTAGAAGAAAAATACAACTTACTTAGGGGGTTTAAAGACATTTACCGGAAGATCATCAGGTGCTTGAGTACGAATATCTCTTTGTCTGTAATAAAAATTTACAAAAGAATGTAAATCTAGTCAAAATAAGCAAATAGATAATACACATACATTATTGTTGTAAAGTTATCACTTATTCAACTAAAAACTTAGCAACTGTTTTTCGAATCTATATTCTTATATACCCACAGATATTATAAAATGAACTTTATAAATTCTGTACAATATAAAGCTTCATGTGTGATAACAATTAATTATCTATTAGACAGATAAAATAATTTCTATCTGAAATAAAAGATAATTGTAATTAGTTGATCTAATTAAATTCAATTTAAACAAACAATTACATGATATTCTCAAAAGAAAGTAAACCAATAAGAATTATATTTATATTGAATAAAATATGTAAAATCAAATTTAAACAAATAGCTCAAAATTCAGAAATTTCATGATCTAAAACCAATAAATAAACTAATAAATAAAAACAAACAATCAAATGAACATTTAATTTATTACACTTGTTGAAATCATGAATCAATTGAAGCTAGACCACCATGGAAAACCTGGAAGCATTGAACGGCCGTTTCGTCCTAGTACGGGACTCCTCGGCAGTGCGCATCCACAATCCCGCACCCCGCGGGATTCGAAACCAGGACCTATCAGTCTCGCGGGGTGCGGGATCGTGGATGCGCACTGCCGAGGAGTCCCATACTAGGACGAAACGGCCGTTCAATGCTTCCAGGTTTTCCATGGTGGTCTAGCTTCAATTGACTAATGATTTCAATCAGTGAAATTTCTAAAAAATCTCCACAAAACCCATACTGATAATTTAATTTATTAGTTTGAAATTATGAACACATTACTACTTTATAAAAAGTTTATCATGATTTTTATTTGAAAAAAAAACAAAACAAACAATTTTTGTTAGTAATGAATTTCTCGGACAACAAAAAAACAGTCTGAATGATTGACCTTATTCATTAATATTAACTTGATAAAATAAGGTTGTACAAATGATAGAAATACATGAAATTATTTAGACTAAACAAATTAATGAAATAAGGTAATAACAAATTAGTAATAATGGAGTTACATCTTAAAACTTGAACTTAATGTAACTTATTTATCAAATAGAAATTTATTTTATGAATAGAAAAGTTAATAACACTACCTAACTGCTTAAACACTTGAGTAGATAAAAAGAAAATAGAACTTGGAATTTAATGGTAGAAAGTTAAATGATTCAATCTACTAAACCACACCCTTTGAATGTAAAATAATAACACTATAAGACATAAATTGTATGGAGTTGGTTTGGAGCTGTAAAAGGATTGATTTAGATAATTGGTAAAAGGTAACTGAGTCGTGTCCTTATGTAAAAAACAAACAGATGGGACCATTGTACAAACTAATATTGATAACCCCAACACAAGCAATAAAAAGAGGACATGTTAAGAAGAAATGAATTCATTCATAACAAATAATAGAGTTGATTATTACATTTCCACTAACTATGTGCTTCAGTAAAGTTTCCTAAACCAATTCAATAATTCATGTTTGGTAGTATCGTATGGTCAACTTACAACTTCTCTTCAAAGTAAAAATTTGCCAGGTTTTACGTTGTGTACGAGACTATCAGTAAAAACAAGTTTGAATAAATAAATTTTAAGAACTTTCTGCAAATACAATTTCGGATATTTCATCTATGGTGGGATATTAAGAGAAAATATGAATAGCTACTAGCTATGCTTCGCTACCTGCATTTCACAACTGCCTTTCTTTTCTAACTTCGGCTACTCCCCAAAGAACAAATTTTATGAAGAAGATGGATTGGTAGACACCAAAGAAGACTGATTCAACGAAACAGTACACGTGTACATTTACAATAACTCTACAAATAGGGTGAAAGATTAACACATCAAAAGAACTGAGAGGTAAATGGAAAACAGCATGTTATTATCACGTTGAAAATGAAATTCAGTCGGTCAGTTAGTCACGACGTAGGACCTGGTACGTATACGTATGTACAAAGAGATGAAATTGTCAGTCCGAATCCCGAAATAGTAGATGTAGTAACAATATCAGTATTAACAGAAAAGATCAGGCATCGAAGGAAATATAGATTAGTGAAATAAGGAGAATTATGAGGAATCCAGAGGGTCCGAATCTAGATGAATTTTGTCTATGCATCTTTGTCCAGGTCAGAAACCAGCCTGGCTTTCTCGGGTTTATTCCTCACGAGCAGTAGTTAGACGTCGAAGTATTATTGAGGCTAACATTTTAGTTACTATATTAGTTAAACTGATTACTCTGTGATTGTCAAAAGAGGATATTTGTCTTTTCTTATAGACTAGGACGGTTAGGTATGAAAACCAGTCAGATGAGATTACTTTTAGTTCTCAGAGTTTAGCTAAGATCTCAGTTAATCTAACTGATAAAACTGGACCACTATCCGTAAAAATCTCAGGGGTTAGTTCATCAGGTCCTGCTGCTCACCCTCGCTTTAGATTGCTTATAGCCTTTTCAACCTCACTTAGGGTTGAAGAACTTATAGCAATTTGCTATTCAGGTTGCTTGAAGATATTGGGTAACTGAGGAACCAGTTGGACAAAAAATCTGAATGAAAAAACCCGTGAGAAAATTTGGACAGAGAAAAACAGAAATTCAAACCTACGAAATAGGTGTTTACTTGGAGATGAAACATTCTTAACATATGGAGAAAAATATATAAGAGAAATCTGATTAATATTATAGAAAGAGTACTATATAAAACAGAATCACCTTCGACTTGAATGACATAACATTGGCATAATTCAACCACTTTGTTTGTACCAAACATTTGACTTATTTTCTTGTAGTATTTAGATTTATGTACCGTATATTATTATTGTTAATAGCTTTATTCAATATTATATATTTAGTACAATATAGAATTCTCAGCAGAAACTATTCCAACAAGTTTCCTTTTTTTTAAAAAAAACCCGGATACATACATGTATTAATCAAGATTTTCTTCTTTTCAAAAGAAGTGACTTATCCTAAGTCATGAAATATCAGAAATTTTATTGGTTTATTTATCGTGATATTATAATACTATTATTTTATTACTACATTACATAAGTGAAAATGACATATTCTAATTTGTAGATATATTAGTGTCATGTGAAACGTTAACTCTATTTGTCGTTGTATACGAAATCAAAGTCTTAATTAATTTCAGTTATAAGGGAATATAAACAAGTTAACCGAATTTATTATTAAAAAAAAAGAATTAATGACAAGTAAAGTGTTCGTAACACGCAACTAATATACAGAAACTGAATATGTCAATACATAGATAATTTAGAAGTATGTTCTTAACGTTTTTAAGATTAATCATCTATAATAATAATAATAATAATAATAATAATAATAATAATAATAATAATAATAATAATAATAATAATCCCAGATAGGATTTATAAAAGATAATGAGAACTGACTAAATATTAACTTAATGTCGCTTTTCAAATAATAATAGTATATTTAATTAAAACTGTCTTGAGTAGTAAATGTTCGAAATATATTAGAAAAAAACAATATGTATGAATGCACGTACAATGAAGCAATAAACAAGTGAGAAACTCCAAACTAATATTGAAAGAAAAGATTAACTCGTACGGGGAAATTGTGTTATAATTTGAAAATGTATGACCGTATAAAATGACATTTACTATTTATATATTAGTATATCTTAAATAGATGGGATACATGAGTCTAATATTGGTTTCAATCGTAAAGGACAGTACTTATCAGTTGACGAGAAGTATCAACAAGAAACACCATAGTAAGAATGTCATGGAGCAATGTGTAATGCTTTTCGTTCGAATTAAATTTGATTTTCTTCATGAATGGATAACAAAGAATAGACTTGAAGAAATTAGGTAGTAAACGCCAGTTATTTGTCTTTCGTGTTTCAGCAGTTTACATCTATGACATTCTTAAGGAATAGAGTTAAAACCCTATAAAGAGAATAGTAGTTTTTATGCCATTGGACTTAACACAACTGCGATCATAATCGACCTATCATTTAATCACAATTATCATATGTGTAAATGCCAGTAACTAGTTGGAAAATCCACAACTACCCTTTCAAAACCCGAAGAGCTTCAATATGATTAGTCACTAGTGATTAAGGTAACACTTACTTTCAGGGAGTATTTGTGTTGATTATTATTTTGGAATTCACCAGATATCTCATTATCTATTATTATACCTTTTTATTTGTAACCTTGGATGGATGTCTGTGTTCTGTTCTTAAGTATTTGATTGACTTTGTCAAGGTATTCGAATTTTATTATACCACAATCAACGTGATGAACATAAGAGAGCAAAATGCAACGCACTACTTGTTTCATGAAGAATTTTCGGAGAAAGCTTATACGACCTATTTTGGTGCGTAGCGTCAAACTTAATAGAACATGTTCGGATTACTTCATCGATCGATAGGAAAGTCACAAGGACTTTTTCTTTTACATAGGATATCAAACAGACTTAAATACAAACACACATACATACAAAACATTGTCGGGCCTCACAAAAGGATAAACACAAATGTGCACACTTTGTCTACGACATGTATTATGCACAAGCACACGTTGTATTGTTAGGTATTCATAGGTAATAAATTAACACACATGTCATAGAAAATACAACAAACCGGATGGATGTATACGTCAAATCATGAAGACCAAAAGAAAAATCACAACAGATATTTCTGCAAAAAATATACATATTCCATAAGTAATGGTTAAGTGGAAGAAGTTACTAATTGAAGATAAGACATTAAAGTGTGATTATTAGTGTTTGATTAATTTTATCAAACTAACAACTGATAAGAAAGGAAATTATTGTATTAATAACATGAAACTTATTAGCTACTGCAAGTCATGAGCAGGTATAATTTGATCTAATACGAGACTCTGTAAATGAGCTTCAAAGATTGACTCACATCCCGGTTACATTATTAAACACAAAACAATTATATTTTTATATGTAAAAAAGTACATGCATATGTATTTGGGGGATAGTGATAGTAACCCGCTGCTACGAATAAACTAGAAGGACAGTTTCCCAGCAGCGAACACAGTGGTTGACATTTTAATGCTGAAAAACCAATGAGCCCTATTGAACTGATTAGTAACATTTGTGATCTATCTAAATAGTGAGAAATTTAGGGATATTATTTCTAGCTTAAAACATTAATATCGTTAATTCAATTTGAAATGGATTGGATAATCCCATTGTTGATATTTTTGACTAAAATCTAACCAGTCTTGGTTGGCATAAATGCATCCTGTACAAATGGCCTCCATATAGCCATTACAACACGAGTTGTTTTAGAATAGGACGTCATCGTGTTATCCAATTAGCTACTGAGTTTAAATAGCCACTTACTTGTGTTTGAGTCCCAGAGTGAACAGTAATTCTAGGCTGCAGGGTAGGTTAATCTAAGTAAATGGAACTCAATAAAAATTTTCAGCAGCAATAGAGTTTTAACACTAAGTTACGACTGAATATTAAAATCATGTTTATAACGCCGTCATAACACTTTAAATGTACTGTAATGAGCGAGAACACGAGTGGGGGTATCCAAATGTATTGGAATACAAAATTATAGAATCTCTTAGTAAAATCTGAGAACCATACAGTAATATTTCATTTACAAAATATCCACCAATTGTCTCAGACTTTGTTGTTTCTTGTTTCCATACCAATCACTCTTTGTTCTCGTTCTCTTCTCTTCGATTTTCTCAACCTTCTGCTGCCGGGCATTCTACTTTCGAGTGGTGATACATACTACTTATATATATCGACATCAGTAGCACATACACAGTATTAGCTATGTTTTACTTAAAAAACCCGTTTACATGGTCGGTAGAAATCTGTTTGTGGATATAAATTCAAGATTAAAACATAATGTCTTTTAGGGTATAAGTTATTCAGATTAAGAAACACATTTGGCTGAACTCGTCAGAGAATAAATCCAATCGGGAATTTATTTATTTAAGAGAAAATAAGTTTTTCTATTGAAGAAGAGTATCTGCAGTTGACTTTCATATATAAATGAAAGTAAACAGAACAAATAATCTTATCTAAAATATTTCCCATTAAATTGACTGTAATGCCTTTCAAGTTTAAATTTTGTATTGTCACAATCTGATTACATTGAGTAAACAGTTATCCAGTCCGATACAAAGGCCATCAAAAAAATATTTTAATACAAGATCATTTGGCTACTTAATTCGTGATTTAAGTAACTCATCAATATATTTGTAAAAATCGCCTATTTATGAGAACGAATTTCTTTAGTGAAGTTAAAATTTCCACCGAACTTTGAGAACAACGGTTTCATCTGGCTTTTGACAGCTGTAAATTTCATGAGTGTATACAGGTAACAACATTAATTTTAGCACCATATCATATGTACCGTATGGAATGACGAAAAGCCATATTGATGACAATTTAGTAGAAAATTTACTTGAATTCGCATAAAACCTAATAAAGACTTACAATCGTTCAGCAAATCCTGGAAAACATGCATTACCACCCATAACCATAAAATTTGCCCAAGCTCCTGGCCTTACTGCAGCCGGTAATCGTTCACTCATTAAGTAATGGATAGCTTCTGTAAGCCCCATTTCTTGATAGCCCACATCAGATGGATGGAAAATCAGTTCAGGAACTGTAAAACGCTCATTATTCAAACGCAATACATATCCTTGCTGTGACAGATTGGAAGCTCGTTGTTCTGATTTATCGTTACCACTATTTTCAGAAGCCACCGCATTCGGATCACGAACATATCCACGGTGTACATCGACATAGTTTGGTAGTACGTATTCTCTTAAAATGCTATTTGATTTTTGGTTCGATCTATGTAAAAAAAAAGGTAAAGATAGACGAGAAACCTACTAGCAAATATTGTTTGATAGTTTGGTAGCACTCAACAAAAATGGATAGGTGTGTAGCTATCTATCTACAGAACAAGGGATTATTATTCAATATATTGATCAACAGCATTTACACTGTCTTTTTTGGTTGCGCATTCTAAAAAGATATTTTTATTGAACATCTTTCGTAATTATTTCAAACAAATGTAGGATTTTGTGAATTATAGGATGCTAAGCATTATAAAAAGTATCATTATATGCACTATTCATATGATAAAACAAAATTAAATGAAAAAAGAAATGATGTAATAGATCACACAAAAACACAACACTTAGGAAGCGTGAAGTCAAACAATGTTTCGTTTGCCTTTAATGAGGAAGGAAAAAAACAAAGTAGATTAAACTCCACTTCGTCAACGTGAAGAATCGGACCGAAAAGCTCAAAATAAAATCAGAGAATTGAGATGTTCTCAAATAGTAGTACAGTTTAACTGCCTTTTGTTTTATGGTTCATATGGAATAAGTATATCCTCAAACTTTTTAATAATTTTCACCAAACATGCTACGGGTTTATGGTATTAAATAAATGATCATACTAACAAATGAATATAATACTCAGAAGGTTGTGGTGACTAACCACGGAGAGCTTCACAATACCTGTGCACAATGAGGACTTTTGGGGTTAGCTGTACACATAGAAATGTCTTATACTTTAACCTTTTAATTAATGTGGAAGTGATCACTTTGAAATAAGAATCATGTAAAGATGGTGCATGGTACTAAAAATACAATAATTGACGAGAAACGAAATCCCCGCTATTCTTAAAAATGAAGCATACGGTACCATATTACAAACGACAATATTTTAAAAAGACTCACCGAGAAATCTTCATATCTTGCCAAAAGTCAGTGGATACATAACATACATCTTCTTTGCACTGATTCATTATATATATCTCACTTCGAACATCCAAATGTCTATGGAGAGAAAATTATAGTCATAGTCAATTATAAAACTTACCTATAGGATACAGCTTCAATCAAGCGATTTGTAAGAATTTTTCCACCTACTGTTAGCCTTGAATAGACAATTAAAAATAAGTTTTTTAAGAAAGACAATAGAAATCCTCATTGAAAAGGTAAATACCGTATGACGAAATCTTTCATAACAAATCCATCAGCCATGGGCACAATGTGCGTAAATGAGTATCCAGAGTCAATAACTATACAATATCTTGAAAGACGTTGAGCTGATTCACTTCTATATTTGTAAGCGCTTAAAAATGCAGCTAAAAAATCAGTTAGATGTATATATCGTCGGACTAACACTTACGATTTGTGCGGATCAAACCAGCCACTTGATAATCTTCAAAAAAGATTTCATTCATAGCTTCTTTAGTTGATGAAAAGTTGAAATACGGCTCAGTAACAATTAGATTATGATCAGATAAAGAATTTTGCTGGAAAAAAACATAATAAGAGGATAAAAACTACCTACAGAGTTTGTTTTAACTATGCTTTTAAGAGTTGTGTCCAAAATTTGACATTGAACCTCCCAGTTGTTAATATAGCCCTAAAAATAAAGAAATGTTCTGTATAAGTATATATTTAATGAATGGGGATTCTTCTAAAAAAGATATAGATTACGTCAAATCCTTTATAAATGATAAATATGCTACTGTGTAGCCTTTGATAATGATGGAAAACAATAAGCGACTCTTGTAATAATTATAATCTAGTTTTACAGAGACGTTGTCCACACCCATAAGTAAATAGGTGAATGGAGCGCGAACCAACTTGTGATCATAAGGGAACGTAAAATCGATGTTCAATTACACTGGAAAATAAACGCGAAATTTAGTTAAAATAAATAGGTATATCTATGTAAAAACATGAAATCGCTTTATAAATAAACACAAGCGCAACTATGAAAGTCAAATACAGTTATAAAAACACGAGAATTTTACTCACTTTTGTTTATCAAATGATGAAAGTGAAATATATTTTGATCTACCGCTGATTTTAGCATTATGATGTATATTGTAGCAAAGGTATTTTCTAATAAGATAGACTGATTGACTTTTAAGCCATTTACCGGACATAATGGTGAAATTTAAGTCACTATATAACTAGTTATTTGAAGTATATATGATGAAAACAAATTTATTGTTTTAAATGATGAAGAGCAGTAAAAACTACTGATAAGAGGTACTTAAGATTAACTTGATGGAAACCAACAAGAGGTTTATGAACTGTCTCTACATCATAAGACCAGATATAAGTGGATTTTGTACATATATGGTGACTGTAAAACTCACATGCAGGACTAAATGATTCAATGTCTGTTGGTATAAAACTACTATTTGTTTAGGAAGTTTTGGAACTAATAACCACTTTCTTGGTAATATCACTGTTTAATCAGTCAGAACCAACGTAGAGACTGGCAAAAATATGAGTTTGTCAAGTTTCTCAAACAATATCAGCACAGTGAAGTGTAATTATTAGGGCAACTGCTGCAGAATTAGAGGTGGCGATAATAGAAAAGATTAGACGAACAAATTTCAAGAATAATGAATCCATGGAATAAAAGGTATAGCCTTTAAACTTTAAATGAAGACAAAGAGTAGGTGCATCTGTGCAACTGCTAATGACCTCGAATCTTTTCACTAAAAATCCCCAACCATTTGTTATGGTGATCAAGCGAACCCCGTCCGGGTAGTCATCTACAAGGATAGCTCAAATTAGTAGTCAATTACTTCATGGGTTGATGCTATCTTGATTCAGGGATCTCTAGCTTTCTACCAACCCACTCCTACACCGGCTAACATTGTGCACTGAGGTAGATAGTGAATCGGTATACGTAATATATGTGCCAACCATCTTAGTCAATGAAGATTCATAACTTCATAAACCGATTTGTGGACTTGCCTAGTACCCTATGCCTAAACCCAACACCGCTCATTTAATCGTCCTACGATATCAGAGTAATGTATCAAAAACACCAGTTAGCAAATACTAATAACCTACCAATATCCCCCATCTTTAAAGGCTATGTTACACAACCATAAAGCAGTACCGAGAAAACTACTGTGTAGTATACACGCCCTTCTGACTGGTAGACGGACATCTCGCTTAAACCACAAAAGACGTAAGTTGATAAAAGCCGACTAGCCTCTGAATCCATGTCCGGATCTTATCAGACGTGATTAGTGTTGATGTTATGTATACTAGTACGTTTACGAAATTGAGACGAAGAAAAGCGAATGTCCGGCGCTTTGACTGGGTTGATGGACATGGAGTCCACCTAGGGGAGTTGGAAAATCCTGATTCCAAACCAATGGTACACATGGGCTCCTGTATCCTGAGGGAACAAATGGCATATGAACCAATCGTTGGTCACCGGCTACCATGGGACTGCATTTTCTTATGATGCTCCACTGCCTTGTGGATCAGATCTTTAGGTCGAAGGCTTCGGGTGTGGCCCCCTAAGGAAACCACCTGCTTCGGTTTGGCCACCCGAAGAGCATCACAGCCCGCACACAAATCAAGTGAGATTTGTGTGGCGCATATGTGTCTGGTGCCCCCTTGTACCAAAATCTATGTGTTCAAATAAATAAATAAATAGTTTGTCATAATATAGGCATAAAACCACATTCGTTGTATAACGGGCAGAAATAACACTAGGATGAACAAATCAAACTAAGTGACGTCAGCTTATAGTTTATGAGCGAGTGGTGGAAGTAAACGGTTACATCTTTGGGTCTGGGATTCGTATGCCTATGGAAAAGCTACTTTTAGGCAACTAGTTATACGAACAAATGGTAGCATTTCGAGCTTAATAGAAAAAAACCCGGTTAACTAGGGGAGTAAATGAAGCATTTGACTAACAGGAACGTCACAATACTCACTTTTTTGAATGGCATGACACAAAATAAACTCGACAAATTATTGCATTGTTCTATTTCATTTCCAACGAATGTACGACCACCAAGCGTTTTCGACTTAAAAATGGAATTATCGATAATTCTTTTGGAAAATAAGGACGATTCTACGGAAAAAGCAAAAATTACTTGGGATGAGGATCTGTAGAAAATCCAATTTTCAGTGATCCACCACCCATATCGAGTATCAATGTTGGTGATGCCATTATTGAAATGAATTAGAACATATATTTAAAGTTGTTGCACAAGCTAAAAAGGAATATAGAAGTGACGAACATAGAAATACAAACCAATATACTACCATTTTAAAGAGAAAAACGAACAAATCGCACAATATACACTTTACAAATGTGTTATGCAAACTACATTACTGCTTCTACATAGTTTTTAATGTTTTGATCTGCGAATAAATATTGTTCTGCTGTCTTATTTTCTCTCAGGTCCTGAATATAGTATCGTTCCACACATTTGACTCCCCTACAAAGTTTGTTCTTTTCCAGCTTTATACTTTACGCTTAGTTTATTACTTCCATTGTGCATCATTTTTCATCTTTGTTTTTAATTGCTTTAGTCTCGCCGTGCTGTAGTGAGTTGTGACAAGTTCGACGAATATAAATTATTCCCATGAATTATGAGATTTAAGACCGACTGAATTAGGTAGCATTTCTGTTTCAAAGCCTGATCTTACGTCGCCTCTCCATCATAAATTCTATCAAAAAACCTAAAAAACGTTTACACTGGTTTGCGCTGACGTAACATGACGAAAAGTGGTGCTATTACTAAAGATAAACCAAATGATTTGGTTAATTGTTTAGACCACGAAATGAAGGCTTAGCGTTATCACTTGAAGTTTCAAAGATCTTGTTCTCGCGATAACTTCTCAAATGTGCCAAGTTAAAAGTCAAAATCACAAATCTCCAAACCCAAATCTTGTTACCATTAAAACCTAACAGATATCTAGGAAATTTTGGAGGGTTTCCCCCATATTTCACCAGGCTTTGTGGAAACGTATGGATTGTTGTGTGATTTTGAGGAAAACCCCAAAATTCCCCAGGATTTTCCTACAATACGGAGATTAGGAAGTATCAATTTTGAAGGACCAGTGTTTACTGAATATCCTGATCTGTGAAATATCCACTACAGTACAAAAAGTTGTGACCGTCGTAGGAATTACGCTAAGTGTTGATGCAGAGGGGATTGGTAATAAACAGTACCTGGTGGTAAAGCGGTAGTCCATATAAGTTTTGAAAATTCTGGCTAGTAAAGATACAAAAGTGATTTAGGAAAAAAATCACGCGCGAGAATAATTATGCAGCATTTTATGATGATTACCATCCACACAATTAATACGGTCGTGGAAGTACTTATATATTAGGTGTTAGTTTCATGTGTTTCACGTCTGCTTTTCGAAAGACTTTCGGCTGTCACGAATATATGGTTATGAGACCGACCGATATATTATGTTATACTATCCTAACCACAGAAACATTTTTCCAGTAGGATGAACTGGTATTTTGGGGAAATGTATAGACTAACCTTTTAAACACAGAACAAAGTAACGTAGCCTTCATGTTGACCGCAACATTCCAAGGTCCAATTTCTTTGAGCTCGCTTCTTGTTGTTTCGGTACGGTTCCAAGCATTTGGTTTTGTTTAATGAGTAGTAGTCTCGCCACTAAACTACACTAATTCTCGTCAGTTTGGTAGTTGTTAGTGAATTTGTATATCGTTTTATTTGATTGATTGTGCAGGGATTCAAGATACCAGTAGCTATCAAATAACCAGGAAGTTAATCTATCGGTTGCAACGTAAAAGATAATGAAATCAAAACTCGAACACTAAGAGGATATGATTCTCTCAATAAGCAAGTAAATAGATAAAAAGGTCAATTCATTGGTATTGAGGATAGTGTAAGAAGACCGAAGTGTAAGAACAAAATGTGGATGATAATAAGGAAGATGGAAAGTAGTTACTGATGTGTTACAGTGATAACAATCTTAAATTATGAGACGTGTATCAGGCACGGATGGTCTAAGAGTGACAGTAACCCATGGATGAGTACGTATTTGTCAATTCACCTCTTGAAGCTGTCGAATGAGGGGGCTGGGTCGGCTGCAATTAAACGCAACTCAATTTCGTAAATGTGCTCTTCAGCTTAGCAACCAATCAGAATGAGGCGGGAATTGTTACATCCGCCATCTTTGTAAGCAATGGCGGTCGGCTTTCTTCGTTTTATGCTTCTTTCAGCTAATTCTTTTGTGTAGCTATGTAATTTAATGTCTCAGTGTGCTAAAATGCCGCAGTTAGTGTAATGTTCTATATGTTGGTGTGAAGTTTATTTCGAATCAGCGATGTTTTCTGGGTTTTTGCTGCTTCTCAAGTCAATGTATTTCTTCGGGCAATCTGGCTAGTCTAGTGTTATAAAATGTCGGACGGCTTTCTTCGTTCTCTGTTTTTTTCCGCTATTCCTTTTGTGTAGCTACAGAATTTGATGTTTCAGTGTGCTAAAATCCAGAAGTTAGTGTAATACTCTGAACGTTGGAGCAAAGTTTTTCTTGATTTTGCTTTGTTTTCTGGGTTTTACCTGCTGCTAATGAAGTCACTGTATTTATTCAGCTAAGCTGGCTAGTACTAACATAAGACCTTACGTTTTCAAACGACAATCGGTTATGTTTTGCATTGTTTTCTAGATATCCGAAGCCGAAGTTCGTTTTTATTTAGCTAAAATAATTGTTGCTGCCGCCTGTGACTCTAACTGTTCGCATGTTCGTTCCTGACTGTCCTTTAGGATGTTATCGGCAAAATGAAATGAAAAAATCTGCGGTTTTTAATTTTCTTCATCATTATGGACAACACTGTCCCACCAACGAGTCAAACTAATACAGAGTGCCCAGCAGTAGGGTATATCGGTACTGACTTAGAAAGGACCCAGACTTCCGACAATTATAGATGAAGTCACAGATGCTACCAATCTATTGCAGAGGGTTTGTTATGAAAAATATGCCATATAACAGTAATAGAGGGGTTGTACCCATTACTCAGTGCGTTAAAGCAAGCTTAATATTGAAAAGCCGGAAATCTGCTACCAGTGTCTAGTGTACGTTTGCTGTTTTGGCCATAAAAGGAAGACGAAGGGTCATGACCAGGGAGTAAAAAGGTAACTAACTGTTATTAAGCTCACTTTTTTATAGATTATATTTCACCACTCGCAAATTTGTGTTTTCTTACGGTGTGATGTCAACTAGTACCTAATATGTTCACCCTTATGATGAAAAATACCTGTAAATTTTCACCTTCATATTCGAATTATTTTTGGACAACTGTCTTACAGTCTGAGTGCTTCGTACGCCCTGGGAGACTAGATTCCTACATTATTGGTAGTTCCATTATAACTTTCTCACGCAGTAAGTTCAAATTAGACACTAGTCTTTCTAAATAAGCCTTTTAAGCTAATATCCGTATTCTCTATTTCAGTTAATAGATGAAGACATGTACCACGTGCATCTGCTGTATACTGCCATTTTACTCTAATTCTAACTGTTATATCTTACTTTTGAATAATAAAATTGCTATACGCTGCAAATACAGACTTATTTGTTTTGATGGAGGTAGGGGGTTTCATGGGATTTTCACTAAAGAGCTAAGCGAGTGCGTAAACCAGTGTAAGGTACCATACGGGGTGCATTAGTGTGGGTAGGGGCATTGCTTGCTTGTCATATGGCATTTGAATTAGAAGCTATAAGATAAGAAGCAGGTACGGTTAGGATGTGTGACGCGTGTCCATCCATCAGTTGGCGTGACAACCCATGGTGGTTAGAGTAAGCTATGAGGGGACCCTAGTCTGTAGGAAATGGCGAAGATATCCACCAAATCACCTTATGAAGAGGGCCTGCAATCACTTAACCTCCACTCATTAGAGTATAGACGTCTTAGAGGTGACCTAATGGCTTACAATAACCTTAACACTCCTGGACATACCCTAAAACACCTAATTCAGCTTAGTTCCAACACTAACCTAAGGGGTAGCACCCAGAAACTAGAGACACAACATAGCAGAATGGACTGTAGGCACAACTTCTATCTCTTAAGAGTTGCCAAATGCTGGAATTTTCTGCCGGCTGAGCTAGTCCAAGCGACTTCCCAAGAGTCCTTTAAGAGGCAACTGGATTTATTCTTAAGGACTAAGTATAGTATCATGCTATGATTTACCGATTTCTTTTTCCTCATTTATTGTTAACATACCTAGTTTCCTGCCTTGAGGTATTGGTGATCCTCTGCTACTAGACACGGAAGCCTGTTAAGCGAAAGCTTCTTCTATTCAGTCCACAACCATTTGAACACATGAACTAGGTGCTGAGAGGCTCGCTTATCACAAGTTTCTTGCGACGATTATGTAGATAAAACAAAGTAGCATTAGATTCAAAAATTTATTCAAGAACTTTCATTAAGAATCGAATATCAAACAAAGGTTTAAACCAAGTTCCCGTTTAAAAGTTGTACTGGTGATGTAAAGCTGCAGTTTTTGTTGTTTTTTTTCAAACGAAAGAGTAAAAGAAGTCACAAAATACCGGAAGTGGTTGTGAGACTAAAATGGAAGTCCAGCATCCTTTTTATCATCTGCTGTTCGTTGGATCTCCCGTAAACAGTTCCATAGGGCCATAGTTCCAAGGGCGAAACAGTTTTTAATGTCTGTGAAGGCTCACTACTGTTGCATTCTAAAGAAAAAATATTGATGAATTTAGTCAGAAATGTGGAATATATAAATAACCAAATCACATGTTTTTTAGCAAAGAATTTATGCAGTTGTAATTTACCTTGAGTTCATGAATATTAGATAAGGTCAGCTACTATTACTTGCGCAAAGCATAACATGGGCTTAGTACCGTATTGCAATGCTGTTATTATTTTGCTCCCATTTAAGTATTCCCATGCATCTGCGTCTAGTTTACCAGGAAAACATACAAGCAGAGTAAGTGTCTGATAAACTAAAAGACCCAGTTGTCAAAAAGATTCTTAACATTTGTCCACAGCCAGTTGCATTTAATTGAAACACAGAACACTCATCTTCTAAGACTGTATACTGGTGTTTTGCGGGCAACTAAAAGCTCAGACGCTTAGCTAACTTGCTACCGATGTTATTGCTGGGGAAATTGTTTAATGACAGTGATCATGAAATATGGTCAGTGATAGATGTACAGTTTAGAAAT